TATTTATTTTGTTAGTAACTGTAAAATTCATAAATTGGTTTAAAATTTTCATGAAGAAATAACCATTGAAAAAGAAATATTTCCTATTATCATTTTGTTTTACAAGTTATCTTTGCATCATAATACGTTTAAAGGGGTGTTCAATCCATTGATTGAATGAGTATTTATCGAAATCCACCATTTATACATTATATGGAAATGAAAGCAACTTTCCAGCTGAAATTTAAGTTGAATAACTAATAATTTTAAAGACTAGAAAATAATTTCTTTTGTTTCAGTTAATTACAGTAATACTATTGAATTGGAAAAAATACTTGCAAATTTCACTTGTTTTTTTATAGTGTCGGTTACTATGTTATTATTATTTTATTTTAACACATAGGTATTGGTACACGGAAGCACCAAATACATATGCGCCACACGAATCTCAATTGATTTATGTGAGGGCTGTGATACTGCCCGGGTGCCCAGACCAAAGCAGGTGGTTTTCTTAGGGGGCCACACCCGGAGCCTTCGACCTGAACGTCTGATCCACAAGGCAATGGAGCATTGTAAAGAGATGCAGTCCCATGGAAGCCGGGGACCAACGATTGGTTCATACGCCATTTGTTCCTTCAGGATACTGGAGCCCATGTGCACCATTGATTTGAGATCCGGTTAAAGCGCCGAAAATTCGCTTTTCGTTCTCTCATTTTCGTAAACAACAACCCCGCCACGAGAAGGCAGTGAGTAGGACTTCCCTGGCAGAGGCTATATACGCATGGCCATGTGAGAGTATTTCGAGAGGGTGAGCGGAATCTCCCCACTCTCGGCCGTACCAGGGCATTTGGGGGCCGGTTACTATGTTAAGCCAATATAACTTATTCTAGCTTCTGGACAAGCGAACTTATCCATTTTTCTTGAGTCACGTTTTGACACTTGGTAATTATTCACTTATCATCGCTGACTTTTTATATGAGCGTATGTGTATGTGCATCTTATCTTACTCATCACATATCTGTGGCTTATTTTTGTGTGACTATAAATATCAATTAAAGCTTGATTAAATGGAATTGGCTCTCACGCCATCTTCACTTCATGACATTTTGCTTTGCTCTCTCTTCTTCGCTTGTCTGTTCCGATCAACGAGTGTACAAAATATACGTATCCAAACATCCATTCTCGTATTTACCTTATTTAATTCCCTTATTCACCAATTCGATTTAAGTCGATAATTTTATACGAGGATTGGCGATATGTAAATTTCAATAGCAATCAAAAACGATCAAACTGGAGCCAGATAAAAAGCCACTCAAAATTAACTGAATACAACTAGTTTGCATTAATTACTCAGTACTCTGAATATTTTTATACAGTAAGATTGAATGTAACATTCTATGCTCCTTTTCATTTAGAGTTCGCTTGTTTGACACATCTTATTAAGTATGAAACTTCAAAATGTATTATTTTACACATCGACCATTGAAAATCCATCAATATTTTATTTTTTTGATAACCTGAGTTTTATAAGACGATTAACATGAACTCAAAATTAAGTACAACATTGACCTATGTTTTTTTGCTAGATCAAATTAATTTAACGTTTTAATCTACAGTTTGTGACTTTATATCAGTCATAGTACCGGTGTCATGGAATGTTTAGTAAAAGAAGCACCATGCACAATTCCATATTTATTTAATAAAATAAGAATATGTGATTTCGCAGTAACTATAATGACCTTTCACTATTCAGAGCGAAGCGATTAGGTATCGATATCTCGTCATAATTATCTCAGCTATTCTGCAAAGATAAGTGTTGACAATATGTGGAGCTGAATAGCTTATGGACAATATTAGCAAATAATAATTTTTATAATTAAAAAAATAGACTGATCTTAGGTTGAGGATTATTGTAAACCTGTAACTATTGGATTGCCGTTTCGTCTTAGTATGCAACTCTTCAATAGTGTACATCCAAAATCTTATTAGAGATTTAATTCGAAGTCTTTCGTGACAATACAACCTCGAGATCAGTGATTTGGCATCCAACGATTTCGGTGTTTTATTTCAATCAATACTTAATACTGCACAATCCCCATACATCTTCTGTTGTAAATAACTATTACCGATTTAATATCAAAAGTTCACTTCTTTTGCTAACGTATCAATAGTTGAGTAAACTTAAGTTTCCCTACAGATAATGTGAAAATTGATTAAACCGTTAGACTTTTAAGCAAAAATAATCTACCTAAATTCATTACAATTACTTAAATAAAATTTTACTGTGTAATAATAATAATAATATTAGGTAAGCTCATTGTATCTTATAAGTCATAAATTCTCAACAAAAAAATAAAAAACGCAATAATTTCCTAAGTAGTATGTCAATTATTATTGTTTCTTTTTGTTTACAAGTGTATTTTATTTAAAAACATGCATAAATTAATTCAGTTTTCCTCGTAAAATTTAAAATGAAGAAGAATAATCATAAAAATATTTTTTTTTATTTATTGCAACACAATAATCGTGAAAATTTAAGATATAATTAACTATAAGAAACATTTGCAAAATTATTACTTGAATGTATATATAATCGTTCTTATTACCAGTAAAGTGAACCACTATAGGCATATTACTAGCAACACTATTTTATTTACAAACATTTGTATAAAATTCATTGTGTTCATTTCATTCTACAAATATTTATTGTTCTGAAATCAATTGAATTCATTCTAACCTATAAATTATATTTGTAACTGATAATGTTAATAATAAAAAAATGTAATAAAGTGTTTATTACACATTTACATCTTAAATAATCACTGTTTCTTAGTTTGAACTATGAATCAGATTATCTATGGGAATTTTCAAAACATAAGCTACATACAATTAGTTGTTTTAATACCAATAATCCGTAAGTAGTAGTTTGAATTAACATGACGGTATTTAAAACATAATGATATGTTAGTACGATGTTACTGAACTTCAAAAGAATGATTTATCCAATCTGATTAGTGTTCTTTTAGCAAGGTTTTTTTATACGGAATGGGGTTGCTGACCCCATGCTCAACTCTCCTCTTTTACCCGGGCATGAGAATGGCAGTAACTTTAGAAGAGCTACAGGCAGAGTTCGAAAGAGTGGTACCGTACAATTATTTATTTTAAATCCTTTTTTAAAAATATCATATATATGTTCAACTTTACTGAATTTAATACAGTTTTATTTTAGTATCTTTCGTGCAGAAAAATTTGTAGTACGGAATGAACATTAAAAAATACTCAATAACACCTGTGTGTAAAATATTATCGATTTTTTAACATACAATTTATTCTCACCATGAATTGTACATGAATTAAATATTTTATTGTTTAAAGATCCCTTTGATTCATACTTCACACTAGGGTCACTTATTGGATTCCAATAAATTGGGCAATATATTGTAGCTAGATAGCTTTAACAAAGAATTAAGTAAATAAATTTATTAAACAATAACTAGTTTAGTGTTTCTATAACCGGTAAGATGAGGGAGAAGATTCACAATCCAAATGGATAGTTTTCTTGATGTTTTATTCCCTGAGTTAAGAGACTTAGATCTAGAGTTTTCATTGTCATTATGGACAACAATTTATACCTACTTTCTAGCTATTTCGTTAGTGGTATATCAGTTTGTTTACTTTGCCTTGTTTATGGTTGGCAATCTCCATAAATTTTGTTGTCTTACTTTATCTCTGCATTTACAATGAATATCATTGTTAGTTAACTGCTGGCCTGTATCAATATGGCTGTTGACTGCTAAATGATCTTCCAGGGTGTTTAACTATTAGATATCATTAGATTATCATAATTAAGGATGAATTTTAGTTTTAGGTTTAGAAATCTGCTAGAAAACACTACCGTTTGAATTATTTATATCACTGTTCATTATGTACAATAAATCTATTTGCTGTAAGTTGGTATGAAACACATAATTACTTCACGATTTAGTCAAAAGAAGAACTCTATTCAAAAAAGTTCTGAATAAACTGATGTAACTGAATTTAGTATACATATCGTTCATTTTAATCACTGATCTCAAATTATATTTTTCAAGATTATGGATTTTGTGCCTATAATCAACTCTAGCAAATATCTACTCTCATTTATAGTTTGTTTAAACAGATACAAAACGTCTATTTCTCTTTTATATTGTAATGGAATAAACGCTACACTTTAGACACCTAAAGTTCAAGATTAGTATTCAACCTTTTAAACAAACCCCAATCTTTCGTTGTTTAGAGGTTTCACTTTATATATATATATATATATATATATATATATATATATATATATATATATATATATATATATATATATATATATATATATATTGCGAAAGGAATATGTTTGACATTGTTCTTCATTTCGCTCATATTTTTTACTTTACTGTTGGAATTAGAAGGCTAGAATAGAGTCAGACATACTAACTATTGGCTTAACTCTGTTGTGAACACTCATACTTTAATGATTGCAAATGTTTATTTTTAAATTTTACACTAGTTAACAAATGTTTAAGATAATTTAGGCGAACATCAACTTCTGGGATCAGTTGATCAATGTTCATAAAAGATACAAACTGCATTCATGAACGTTTTACTTTGAATGTTATATTGTATACTTTTGTCAGACGCAAATGACAGCGGTTCACTAGAAGAATACACTAAAAGTGTGTTTTACACTATGTAGTTATATATTAATTATAGTTCTCTGTGATCAAATGTCAATCAATTTTGTCTAGTAATTATATGAAACTCTATGAACTGTTATTTGAATCTGTGTATAAGTATTAAGCTAAGTACTTCGGAGATAAAAGAATTCAACTTTTCAATTTTCTTTAGTTCTTACTGATTCAGATGTCGATTAAAATCCCCACCAAAGATACAAGATATTTATAAAAACCCGGCTTGTTCAATACTACAGTTATATATAGTAGAAAACATTATTAATGACTAAATATTCTACTTCTTTTTTGGTTAAATTTTAGTTGTGGGAACAGGTAAAAATAAATTGGCAGCCACTGGTGGTCGTATTGAAAATCATCAACATGATAATTTAAATCAGCGTAACAGTTTAGGTAGTGGAGATGCAGAGGCTACTGAAGATAGCAGTGATGCACCTAAAGGTCGTAAACGAAGAAAGAAAAAGTATTCAGTGCTTCAAGCAAAGTTAACTCGTTTAGCTAGCTTGATTGGACAACTAGGTAAGTTAAACAACTTTTCAGTGTATCTTAATTAACGATCAATAAAACTTGTTATTTTTCAAACAGGTATTCTACTTTATTTGTACAATCCTAAAATATAATCTATTGTAATTTCATGGGAAAATGAATCCAGAGTAAGTGTATTCTAAAAAGATCATAGATATTTTGTCTATCATTTGTTGATCACTACTGACAGATATAGCTTCAGGATATATTACAAAGTGTACTGTTTCTTAAATATCATTTTCTGCATGACTAAAGCGTTTAATATATTTGAGAAGGTATTGTCGTGTCTCTATACTTAACGAAATTCATTTTCAAAATTATCAATGACAATCTTCTATTGCGTTCAAAAACAAAGAACAAGCGATATAATTCATTCCATCTTAATAATTACCAATTTTTATAGTATGGAAGCACAAAATAAAGGACAAACGTTCACTAATGAATTTAAAAAAATCAAGTCTATTCAACTAGACAAGATGGGAATAAAAAGAGATTACTTTAACTATAATTTTCATGGAGATGGAATACTACTTTATCAATTTTAGCTTTTAATATAAGTATTTAGTGAGTTGCAATTATTAAAATAAACTGACTACATTCGTATTTTCAGAGTTGAATCCATGAGGTGATCTAGGCTAGACCACTATTGAGAACCTGGAAGCACTGGAATCCACTGGTCAAGGCTTCTCACCAGATCTCCAAGAGTTCCGTCTTGAAGCTAGTCATTAGTGAGCACATGATTATTTTCAGTATGGGGGTTTGTGAATATTGTAGTACTTTCAAAGTTGGTCTAGAAGTTAAGCACTCGGGTCATAGGTTTGAGTCCCGCGTGCAGGATCATGTATATACACTGCTGAGATATCCCAAACTTCCAGATTTGAATAGTGGTCTAGCTTATATTGATTCGTGAATTCAACTGTAAAAATGCTACAATTTCTACAAATCCTCATACTGACATTCATATTTATTTTATCTATAGAATTACTACTCAATGATAGACGTATAAAATAAGACGAAAATTATTTACTAGTCGACTGATTATTCCTAACAGTCACTTATTTACTTTACTTAATGATAACAAACTTCAAAAGAGATTATTATGCACAAAACATGTAGAAATATAAATATCCTGATTAATTTTTTCAGTTTGTTAGATTATCCCAGCTCAATATTTTTGTTATCTACACTGAAGTAAACTAAAATTATGTGATTTTGTAAACACAGACAACAACTGTTATGTCACAAAACTAAATAAATCGCCTACCTAAAATTTCCTCCAAATGTTTATCCTTATCTTCTTTTCTTGATAAATGATGAAGTAATTACGAGAATGGTAGTCAAATATATATCTAAGAGTAATAAATAGGTCTAATAAATATGTTAAATAAACAAAAGTTCATTTTATAGATAAATCAGAATTTAGACAAACTTCGTTCATACTGTGCACGTATCAGTTAACTTTAATTTGATTGACAACGTCAGTAGGAGTTATATAACATAACTTCGTATGATATTTAAACTTTTTTTTCAGAATTTCTATTATTAACCAACATTACAAGTATCGATAAACTAGTTCTTCCAATTTTGATATACAATCCTAAAGCTGATCGGTATATATAAATAAATCTAAATGAATGGTTACCCTATTTTTAAACAAAAAATGGCTTAATCTGGCAGATAGGGATCATAATTTCATTGAATTAGAAACAAACTGGCTGTTTTTAAACAATTCTAGCAATTTTTATTTACTCTATGATTTTATTAATTAAAGAAATAATCTACCATTTGGTAAAAATCAGCGCTTGAATAGAGTATGATTTATGATTATCTTAGTGAAACCATGTTATTCATCATTAGTTATCGGTTTATTTTCTCCCTTGAACTCTCTTAAACAGGTGTGATTCTCATAATAGTGGTTTTTTAAAAGATAGAAGCAAAACATTCATGACTTTTCTCATGTGTGAACACTTGATATGTTATCTTAAATGAGCCTAAAACTTTCAAACCATCAACAAATATGAAATACGCTATTCATGATTGCACCCAGCCATCTTAAATCAGAAATATTGTTTACCAGACTGATTTGTAATCATTTTAAAACTTGGTAGGTAAGAATCTATTTAGATTTACAACTTCATAACCTGTCTCCGGTTATTAATAGATGAGTAATTACCTATAGCTTCAATCTACTAAAATGCAAAAAGTTTATGCCGCATGGTTCAAATATGGATGAATATATTATGAACAAAAGATTGAAGTAAAGCTGATAATGGTGTTGTGTATGGAATCACTAACCAATTAGCTTTACTACTTGTTAGTAGGTGATAGAAAGTAATGGAAAAAATGGAAACAATCGTTTTCTATTGAAGAGGTTTATGGTTAGAGATCTAAGAATCCACGATAAAAGTGGAATGAAATAAACTTATGTATTTGACTACCTTTACGTGATAAATCGTTCGATGAGCTGATTATCCTTCCATTTATTTGAGTGAAAAAACTACACCAGTAAAATATGTTCTATTTGTTTTTACTTGAAGTAAATTAAAAACCAAATCCCTTAAAGTTTTTTAATGTTAACGATTAATTGAAGATCAAATATTCCGTGAATTCCAATTTATTTATGTCAGACGATTTTTTTAATGTTGATCATTTTAATTCTAACTGTTCATTTATTCTTTCGATAATTTAATCAAAATTATTAATTACCCTTTATCTTTTTTTCCCTTTTAAGGTACCGTTGTGGCTAGTTTAACAGTAATAATATTAATTGTAAAATTTTCTGTCAATACATTTTATTTCAACAAAGAACACTGGGATACAGGCAGACATTTACATCAATTTGTACAGTTTATTATCATTGGTGTAACAGTACTTGTGGTTGCTGTGCCCGAAGGACTTCCATTAGCTGTAACTATTTCATTAGCCTATTCTGTCAAGAAAATGATGAAGGTAAGCAATTTACCCTGTTGTTTTATGTCGATGAATAATATCGCTATATGTTTTTAGATAGATAGTAAACAAATGATTAATATTCTTTTAACTTTGCAATCGAATTTTAAAGGAAGAATATATAAATGTCTAGATTTTACTCAGAATATCTATAGAAATAACATTAGAAATGCACAACTATTGACTGACAGGAATTTAAACTAAGAATTTCAGTCCTTACGGTACATAAATTAAATTCGGTTCAGTAATATGAAATGTAGAGGTTTGCATTTCTGTAGATTTTAATCAATTTATACTGAGATAATGATATGAGATTTGTGTGGCACATATGTATTTGGTGCCTCCCTGTACCAATATCTTATTTTCAAATAATAACAATAATCGTAATAATAATAAACAGTTGAGAGCCTATCTAACCTTGTAGGTGCTAATTTATACTTTACTTGACTGGAACAATTTGTTTAACACCATTACTACTTATTTGATGATTATACTATGCTTGGAAAGTACAGATTGTTGAGATTATCTGGAATACGTTATTATTCCTACTTAAACATCTGGCCAATTAAAAAAGAATTGTGATTAAACCAATTAAATGTATAGGGGATTTCTTTTTGATAATTTATAGTTTATATTTTGGCTGTTATTTTCACAGGAATTGCATTAACGCTGGGTTCTTTAGTTTAATGGTTTTTAAGAGATATTGACCTGAATCATGTAGTCTTTTGTTGCGATGAATAAATCGATTAGCTCAAAATGTTTCAGACCAATCATTATTACACTCCAACCTAAATAGGTCAGCTATTACATTTCTTAGTGAGAATTATTTCCCATTATGTTTTCAACTGACCTCTTTTTATCGAAAATCTGCTAAGTTAAGCAAATTCAATCAGAAAAATTTCATTTCAAAGTTTTAAAAATTAATATGTCGTAGTAAGATTCGAGAAAGGTGTTTAGAGATAATGCCAATCTGTTTGGTTCGGTGTAATTTGATACAGAAAAGCTGATTTCATTCTAAATTGTTAATTATCTTCTTGTTCAGAATATCACTTTATTAATACTGTTGATTGATCACTAGTTAGTGATCGATGTTTTGTTTCATTAATCTTTAAATGCAGCTGATTACCTCGATGACGTTACATCATATCCAATATGTTAAGGTGTTTGGTAGTTGAAATTGACCTTGATTTATTGTCCATTACTTGCAAATGCATAAATTCTTTAAACGTTTATTTATACATTATCTCTTGTTTATGGATTCACTGAGTTCGTTATGATGAAGAATAAGAAACATTTCATGAACTTTAGATAATTTACAGAAAAAACGATATTTGAAATTTGGTTAGAATATTGATAATAATGATGGTGCTAATAATCAGAATCAAGGTCACGATTAAATAATAAATGTATTTAAGGACAAAATTAAAATGAAAGGAAAAAACGTTTTCTATTTTTCATTTTCCCTCAAATTTGCTAATTTATTTCCTTAACCTACTATATTGTTTATATGACTTAATTTTGATTGATAGGTACAAATTTAATAACATAAGAGTATACGGACACATGTAAAATTGTACAGATAGATTTTTGGTTGACTTGTCGATTATTTCCAAAACATTGAGATATTAAAAAATCAGTGGAATAATACAATATGTGAGATGGCTAGTCATAAATACTATATTTGTTATTTGTTTTGTTCAATCAGATGATATTACCATGTTTATTTAGTACAGAATTAAATATAATCAGATCAGGTGTGTAATTACATCATATTTAAACTTAAACATTACAAAAAATGAATACAAATGTGTCTCTACATGGTACGTTTGATGATCTACAATAAAAAATGACCGTTAGTTAAGTGTGTTAGTCTTATAATTATTATCGGAGCTTGTCAATATTAAATAACATGCTGAGTTTTATCAATTGAGATACAATCTACTAGTCTATAATGCCTGCATTTTGGGGACAGAAAGTCTTCTCAAATACATGGCTCTTGGATGTTGGCACATAAAACAGATGTTGGTAATTAAAAGTAGCGACTCCATGAGATAACATATGTCAATGCTTCTTTATTTCAGTAAAATGAAATTCTATTTTTTGCTAAATATATAAAGACTTTTAGTTACTAGTTATTTTTATTTTCACTTGGTGGGTATGGTGGTTGACGTTTTTTTGGAAATAATATTTTGTTTCTTATAACACAGATTTTTTCACTCCTTTCAGCCTTTACTTTTTTAATGAACTCTAATGTTTCATATATTGATATTTTAATATTTTAACTATCATTTCTGGACATGAATCGAAAGTTTTATTTTTTTTCCAGCTATATTTATTTTTATTGAAGTGGACATTTTTTAAAATATCATAATTAGGCTTCCTAACTTAGTGGTTTACATACTTAAATTTAAAGATGACAATGTATGCTGTTTTGGCGATCAAAAGCAACCTTCACTTTTGAACTGGTTTACTGAATTGATTAGCATTATCGATTTTAGCAGATTGTTATGATGAAGTTGTTCGGCGAACCGAGTTAATTTAAAGCATTGCTAATGGTACCGGAATAGGAAGATATGAAGTTCTTCTAAATTCCATTTAAACATTTTATGTGATAAAAAAGACATGCTACAGTTGACTTACGAACGAGCTAAAGGTTACAGCCTAATACTTTCTGATTCTTAGTAATTCTTCAATCACTCTTAGTGTATAACGAAATTTATTTTTAAAGTTCATTTTCCAGTTTATTAAAAAAGATTACTATCAGTTTACACCATAACACACAATTTCCAATGAGTGTAATTAATGATAAACGTTTAGTTCATAATTTACTCAATTCATATAAATATCTGGAGATTTTAAATGATACTGAGATTAAAAATAAACTAGATTTTTTTACATTCTCAAAAAAACCCCACTGATTTTTTCAAAATGTTTTTAATGTTCATTAAAAACTATCAAAACCTATGATTTAAGACATGTTTGATTCAGGAATTTTCTAGTTCACTGTCAAAATAATATAAATAATTTTTCGTATACAAAACTATTCCGAGCAAAGAGGGATGGTGGCTAGAAGGAGAATCCAAGATACGCGTTTTGTCCTATTTGGTACTCGTCAACTGGATGTATCTCCATTCTAGAGTTGATGTTCACTCCGGGACTCAAGTAAACAATATCAAGTGAATTTAGAACTATTCTGAATTTTGACATTCCTATTATTAGATTAGTAATTATTGGAAATGTGATATGATGGGAGGAAAAATCAATATTCGATTGATTTACTTAATATGAGTTTTATTCATCATTGCATTCTTTTGATTCAATGTAATGATTACGCAATGTAATATTTCTTTTCTTTTCTCGTATGATATTTATTCTGTATAATATACAATATTCTTGTATTCCATTGACTATGAACTATACTCAGCATTTGTTATAACTGTGAGTATTTTTCATGTATGTGACTTTCTTTTAATTATTAATCAAAACGGGTGTACAATCAATATATAAACGAGTATATTTTCTACTAAAGGGACTTCGCTCTTTTCTCTGGTTGCTGCAGAATACACTTCTTATTTCAAGCTTGGACTTCTCCCTCTTGATAGCGGGGCTGAGGCGCAGCAATAGCTAGCTCACTGGACCTTGGTCACCGAATCCTCGATCTCGTTCTCAAACTACGTGAACCCGTGATAGCTCTCTCTTTTTCAAACCCTAACAATTGGTGACGGGGTAAAAAGAAAAAATGACTCTCCCTTCCGATCGATTACAGCTGCTATTCGAGCGACACTTGGCCTTATTAGTCAATTTACGCACGCAGCTACTGAATCACTCATGCTTTAGTGACGCGACAGAAGTGGATCAATTGATTTCTCAACTGCACACTGAACTGGATAATGATTGCAGCCTCGATGAATCCTTGATAACCCGTACTTTAAACGAAACAGCTGTCACTCAAGATCCGCCCGGTGATCCAGTGCTCCCCACTCCAGAAACATGCGCGGTAATGGATCCAAACTCCATTATCCCCGAAACAGCATGTAAAGACAGTGATGCATCCAGCTCACAAAAGGACGCCCTGCTAAATGTTCATGGAAGTGTTGCAGTAACCACCCATGAAACAGAAAATAAATCGAGCAGTACAATGAAGGCAGCTGCTCCAAATGGTTCTCATCATTATGTGACACAAGTTTCTGACGAATCTTATTATTGAGATTCTGTTTTACCAGAACATAGATCAGATGTTGATTATCTTAATGATTCATCATCTACAAATGAGGCTCCCAATAAAATTGATAACAAGATTTCAGGAGATTCAAACTCTGATGATCTCAAATTAAATGGCGTTTATCCTCACTACCCGGTCCATTTTACTGGATTCTCTGCTCAATATGTTTTAAATACAGTCAAGCTAATTGTAATTTGGGTATATGAGGACCCAACACTGTTTCGTGGGGGAGGACGAACTAGGAAAATTTAAATCCGGATATCAACTCCGGATCTTCAAAAAAAAGGGAGGTGATATGATGGGAGGAAAAATCAATATTCGATTGATTTACTTAATATGAGTTTTATTCATCATTACATTCTTTTGATTCAATGTAATGATTACGCAATGTAATATTTCTTTTCTTTTCTCGTATGATATTTATTCTGTATAATATACAATATTCTTGTATTCCATTGACTATGAACTATACTCAGCATTTGTTATAACTGTGAGTATTTTTCATGTATGTGACTTTCTTTTAATTATTAATCAAAACGGGTGTACAATCAATATATAAACGAGTATATTTTCTACTAAAGGGACTTCGCTCTTTTCTCTGGTTGCTGCAGAATACACTTCTTATTTCAAGCTTGGACTTCTCCCTCTTGATAGCGGGGCTGAGGCGCAGCAATAGCTAGCTCACTGGACCTTGGTCACCGAATCCTCGATCTCGTTCTCAAACTACGTGAACCCGTGATAGCTCTCTCTTTTTCAAACCCTAACAAAATGTCAACGCAATTAATTTAGTTTTAACTCTGAAATACTTTATTTTCCCTAATCTATTTTTCAACTTATTGTTTCTTACATTAAAACAAAAATACTAATTTCAGAAATATTTAGCATAGTTAAAAATAGATTATGATTTTTAGATATGTATTTGACATGCCATACATAATTTGACAATATTTAAAATATTATGCTGACAAGAGATCAGATACAGGATTGAAATACATACGTATATACGTAAGTATAATATAAAAATCTAGTAACCTAATATGTACAGCTTGTTTGGCGTATTAAAATGCCATAAAAGTCAATTAACTATGTGACTGTTTCATTATTCATCAAATTAGTAGTCAAGTAACTAGTTTAAAGGTGTGAAAATATGTCATAACTAACAAAAGAGACCAAATGATATGTTAATGAAACTCATCTCTAAGTCAATGTATATCTTGTTTGATTAGTTGTTTATTTAAAAGTGGAGTGAAAAACACTTTATTGAATTTGAAGATATTATCTGATGACCAAGTATACTGCAAGCAAAATTAGCTTTTCAACAACTGACAATATAATCTGAATTTCACAATTAAATACTTTGAAACATTTATCAGATCATTAGCTTGGATTAATAATTATGTTTTTCAATTATTATGAAAAACTATATCAAACGTTATTGTTTTTGTTTCAAACAGCATTCTATCTATTTATTTTAATAATTTGCCAGGAGATATTTTCAGTAGTTAATATTCAAACATCTAATAAAAAATAATGAAATGATAGTCAATATTTTAACATTTGAAAAATAGGTTTACTAAATACTTGTAATTTTCATAAATATCTAAAATGAGACAGATATGTCTCAATTCATCAGATGATAGCCGTACACAGTCGTGAATTGACTGAAGTTAGAAGTATAACTCAACATATTTCAACCGGCTGGTATTAAAGTATAGAGCTCGTCACACATATTAGCATGAAGATGATGCATTTTAAATTATATAAAAAGATAAGATCCTATTCGCAACCATCATCAATTTTCAAATGTAGATAATATCATGAGATCAGTTAAGGAATATAAGACTTCATACTTCTAGAAACTGATTAGTTTAGTTATTAATATCAACAATAGTTAAAATCAAAATCCTTTCAACAGAGGAGGCTGTAAATGTTAAGTTGCTATGATCTCTCTTAATACGGCTCAGTTGCTCATGTTGTTTAACATTGCTGGACAATACTTCATTCGACAAGTCCTTAAATCAAAACACGGTTGAACAGGAACGTAATTATGATCCTGATAATTAAGGTTGGATGGAAGTATATATCAACAATGAGAGAAACTTTGACAAATTTATGGTTTTTACTCAAAAAGTTCTTAGAGTTTTCTCCAAGTATTCGCCAGCGCCGATTAACTACGAATCAGCGTGCCCCAACACAATCCTGCACGGAACATGCTTTAATCAAATCTATATTCAGCTAACACCAGTTGTTATAGCGAATCAGCCATTGACTACGCCTAACTAAATAATCCTACTTCATGTGAAAAAAATTGTCCATTACTTAACAGTGTGAACAATATTATTTCAGTAAATCATCATTTTCAGCAGCTCTGTCAACTCTGATCACTCATAGAATTCAAAACAAGAATAAGTAGTTTATAGTTTTAATGTTTTTTTCAAATAAAAATGTCGTTCAGAAATTTGTCCTTTCAACTCTTATTTTGCAGTACTACAGATTGAACAGCAACTTACGCTTATCAGTTAAATCAGTTAGAAAGAAAAAAACTAATAAGACACACGGCTGACTGCTTTCTATCATTGGTTTTCATCATATCTTTTTCTTTTGAATTGTCTATTTCATTAGACAAGACCAATATGTTTGTTAAAATTAGTGATCATATTTATTGTACAGAGATTAATACACGTCAAGTATCCTCCCCTTTGTTTTATAAAATTCCTGTTGGTTATCTATATATACTGCTCACAGCCATTTTGTTATTGGAATAAGATTTTTTACTGAGAACATAATGCTCATTTTTGTTTTTCATTTAATTGTTATTGGTTTTCCTAAGACTGAATAATACTATTGTTGTGTTTTTTTCTCAGTTAATCTATTCTTTGTACTAGACAGACTATAAAACATTGATTTAAAATTTTAAAAATTCATTAGTTTCTTACTTCGTTTTCATTGAATGGTTGACGCCCATCATCCTGTTTAGGTTTTTAGTTTCTTTCGCGTTTCAATGTGAAAGTAAAGGTTTAGGCAAAGAAATACGATTATGGATACTTATCTTTTAGCGTTTTCCGAGAATGAAAAATATAAGATAAAAGTAATGAAAATTTTGTTTAGAAAAAATATCTAAACCGGAAATCATTATTAACAATATTAAAAAAATACCTAACATAAATCTAGTGATCTCTATTCATTAATTAAAACAAGGGTTGACATATAAACGTAGTTGAACAGCAAATAGACAATACTGAATTCTGTTAATACATTTATCATTCTAGTTATACATAGAAAAGCTTTTAAGGGAAAAATATAATTTCTTTTAAAATAGTGAATTTGATGTCATCCATTAATCATTTTAACATAATTTTCAATTTCAATGAAAATATTGAGAACATGGTGTTAAATGGCTGAATTTGATCTATATCAGTGATGTTACTGTTCAGTCATCATATCTCAACTTGATCAGTTATCAGTAAAGACTAGACAATATGATATTTAGTAGTATTTATTGATCGATTGGTGCGAGTATGTTAGTCCTGAATTCGAATATTTCAGAAGTAGTGTTTATGAATCTGAAATTGAGTGAAGTGTGTTAGAATCTCCGATAAAACATCAGCTCTTATGCGAGTTCAGATGAATGCAAGACAATCGGAAACCTAGATTCAAGGCTTCCCGTAGATTGACCGAAACTTAGTTCAGTTATCTGCTTCAAGACACAGTTATATCCAAACTGAAATGAAATATTAATTTATTCATTGGGACTGAGACTTCAATATGAAGAAAATGTTTCTTCTTGAAATTTTACCTGTCAATGTTTTGTGTACATTTCATGAAGTTTTTTAGATTTTCTTTGTGGTTCTCTAAAATATCTGTCATAATACACTTTCACACTGAAGTAATGAAATTTTTAGTTGACAACATTTATGTTTAACACAAAATGTTATTTAACACACTTCTGAGATAAATCTTCATCATGACTTCCAGAATCAATTTAAGTGTTAACCTTTTCATTTTTTTAATGTTGGATGACATATTAAGGTGCTACTTAATGTTAGTGTTTTTCTTTTTGAACTAACTGATTCGTACGGTTAGTTTTATCTTTGAGCATGTTCATATTCCATAAAGTTTAATGATGACACCAATTTTCCTTACATTTATGACATTTTGCTTAAAATAATATGGTTTATTGTATTTTAATAGTCGTATGTACTTATGAATTGTATTTCGAAAAAAAATTTTAATAGGACAATAATCTTGTACGACATTTGGATGCATGTGAAACGATGGGCAATGCAACAGCTATCTGTTCTGACAAAACAGGCACTTTAACAACAAATCGTATGACGGTTGTTCAATGTTATTTTGGTGAGAAACTAACCCAAAACACTGATCAATTACCAAAATTGAAAGATTTAAATCATAGAATTGGACACAGATTTGTGCATGGTGTTGCAATTAACAGTAGTTATACATCACGTGTGACTGTAAGTGATTTTTCAGTTTATTAATTTGATTATTGCTTTTTATGATGATATTAGACGACAAATTATTTTTCCAAAAAATATCAGAATTTCTATGAGAAAAAAAGTTTTGGAGTAAAGCAATTCAGCATTGAGTTGCTTTGAATTTAAAATATATCTGTTAATTTTTGCAATCACTTCGATCAGCAACTGACAGATAGTATATCAAAATCAGAGTTTGTGGAGATTGTAGTAATTTTAACTGTTAAATTCGTGATTCGATCTAAGCTAAACTGTGTACGAGACAGTGAATGCGCACTGCTGTGTAGTCATACTAGGACGAAATCAATGTCCAGTGCTTTCTGGTTTTCAATGGTGATCTAGCCTAGATCGATTTATGAATTCAACTATTAAAATAATATTGTGGTGTGTGCTACTTATATCGACAGATGTAAGTAGTATGTATCACCAGTCGAAAGTGAAATGCCCGGAGGTTAAGAAAATCGAAGAGAAAAGAACGAGAACTGAGGATGTTCGGTGTACAAACGAAGGAACATTTAGTCTAAGACAATTAACAGACACTTCGCAAATGAAGTATTTATTGTATGGTTCTCACATATTACTAAGCGATCCTGTAGTTTTGTGTTGAAATACAATTGGTTGTTCCCGCTAGTGTTCACATTCATTACATTATATAAAAAATTATGCCTATGCTATTATGGATTTATGTATGAAATTGGTTAAGGATTAGTCCAGATACAAGAGAGTATCAAAAAGCGACTTATGAATATATGTTCTCGAAAGTCTTCATCATGCAGTTAATGAAGAAACATCCTAAGATAATGATCAACTAATTTATCGTAAATGCACAAAAATAAAATCCTTTTATGTGCGATTGGTTGTCTAAGTCAACCAAATATCATTAATGAAACTATGTTGTAGTAGTAAACGAGAATTAGTCTGAATTAGTACACAGTAAATTCATTAATAATTCTGTTTCATTAAGTAGAATTCATTTTTACTTGAAAAAAAGTTTTCTTCTGAACAAAATGCAATTTGCCTAATATATTTTCTGTTTTTTTGGAAATACTCGTATTATTGTCTTAGATTCCAGACAAACCAGGTGAATTACCACAACAACTAGGAAATAAAACTGAATGTGCTTTGCTTGGATTTGTACGCCATTTAGGCGTAAATTATGAAGATATACGAGAACGGTGGCCGCAAGAAAGTTTAGTGAAAGTATTCACATTTAATTCTTTGCGAAAGTCAATGAGTACAGTGATTAAAAACTTAGAACCTGATAGGCCAGGTTATACTGTTTTCACTAAAGGTGCTTCCGAAATGGTTTTAAAAAAGTAAGTTCTGAAATCAGGCTTATTTTTTAGCTGGATAATTACTATTTGATTATTTCTCAGTTTTTAATATCTAAAAGAATGTGACTTTCTAGATGGTTTTATTTTTGTGATTATAATCCATGAAACGTCTTACTAATCTCTGATTATACCGACTTATAACTTCAATATCGAACGGTAATTATTAGAATTTTTTATAGTAAACTGATTAAGCACCCGCTAAAAGAACTGAAGATTTTTATTTCGCTTGTTTATGAGAGCGAATCGATAGTTCAACTGTCACAGGTTTTAGATAGTACCCTCTGTTGTGGTCAATTTGAACCGAGTGTCATTAGGAAGATAATTTAATAGTAGTTAATTGCATTTTAAAACCACAACAAACTGGAGCATTTGGTGTATGTATGCCATAATTACTTTGCCTATTTAAAATAATAGTAATCCTAAAGTTGATTTGAATGCTTATTCTCCCATTGAAATTTTAGATGTAGTTTCATTCTGGATGCCAATGGTGAACCTAAGCCATTTACTAAAGCTCATCAAGATAATTTAGTTCGAGATGTAATTGAACAAATGGCTAGTGATGGATTACGTACCATAGGTATTGCATACAAAAGTTATATAGATCCTAGTAAGTTATATTTTATTAGTCTTTTATTTAAGAGTTTGATTTTTAAATGATTTTATTCCATTTGAGATAATGTTTATATGTAACTAGAATTATTGATAAGGGTGTCTAAAGCTATTTAAAAATTAAACATGTATATTATTTATGCTTTGTATGTAAAACGTTGTCCGTCTTTTGTTTACTCTGGTACCAAGACAGTTCTTCATAATATTGAATTGGACATATTCGGAATAGGTATTCATTGTAAATTTGTAAATTTTATAGATAATAGAGTGATAGGGACAAAAATACTAAATCATATCTAGGTTGGTTTGCATTTGCTATCATTTTTAAAGTGCTTCCAGGTTTTCCATAGTGGTCTAGCTTTATTTGACTCATGAATTAAACTATTAATTTATAAAGCTTATCAACAAATACGTAAACATAGGTATACAACAGAATGGAATAAGTATAGTTTATTAATGTCAAAATTATTGTCAAGAATGAATACATATGGGCAAAATGATTTTACAGAAGCTTTCATATTTATCACTGGGTTTTCGCATGCATTCACGGTGATTTGAGCAATTATTGAGTTATAAGCGACGTAGGAATTGTCACAACTCATATCAGGACAGTTACCTGGACTTATCAGGACTGTGAAAACAAAGTCAAACTGAAGTGGAAACTTAATTGTCGGCAATTCGGTCAGGAAATGATGGTGTGTGCTATTTTGGTAGCTCTTATTCTTTGTTAAATTACACTTCATACCACATGGTATTGAACTTCAGGGTAGATATTGGTTAAACATACAAGACATATTTTCCACCCACCTTAGATATTATTTTTCTACCTAGCACCGTACGCCATGCTTCGTTGTTATCTTTTATAGAATAATTTCTCTTTGCAGATAACCTTGGTACCACTGTCAGTTTTTTTGTAATAAGATTGTGGACTATATTTATGCTTTTTGATTCATTGATAGTCACCTTAGAAATGTTATGGATGTAAGAAATCTTTCAGTCCAACCTGTTGTTTGAAAGTTTCTCAGATGAAGAAACTGATGTTAATGGAGCAAGAATTAAACAATTTGTTCCAATTACTCTTTTCAAAAGTTTGGATATATTTCTGAAACTTGCGTTTATTTTAAAACTTTTCACGTTACGGAACAAATTTCGTTAAAAAAAGTATGAACAGTTGTTACATCTTAGTGTAGAACTTTTTAGTCTTGCAGACTCTCAATCTCGCAAGGAATCAAACCGTGAGCTTCATTTTGAGCACTCTGGCTTGAAGTCGTACTGAAGGATCGATATTTCAGAATGTATTACATTTATTATATTGTTTGACTGAGATTCACTGCCAATTGTAGTAACTATCTCACTCTGTACATCACTGAACCTCGTAACCATGATGTAAAAGATTTACACCAGTCTCTCGTCTAAATGATTTTTAAATATCAAATTATCACCGAACTTAAATAGAATGAATTTGACAATTTATAACAATTTATAGGTAATAGAATAATTTACAACGAACTCCGTGATAATGGTTGACTGCTTAAAAAAACAACTTCTATTCAGTTTATTTCATTCAAATAATATAGTTACTTGTTTTGAATGCCGACTTCATGAGTGACAAAAAATATTAACTTAACATTTTAAATAGCTCATTTCTTAAGTCATAGAAAATTTTGTAAAACATGTTTGATTTCTTTATTTCAAACAGATGAGATTAAAACAGAGACAACAAACATAATTACAATCGAGCAAAATAGAACTGTGAAATATACTTTCAAATAGGTTTAGGATATAATTAGAGTTCGGCTTAATTTGATGAGACAATGAAGTCTCGATCTACAGACAATCATCATTAAATTTTAATAATTTTGTTAATAGATTGTTTGAAACTGAAAGAAAAAGATTGAGAATAAAAATGAACGGAATATACTCACCCCCTAAAAAAATTGATACGTTTATTAAATACAATTCGTACATCATTTTAGCTAGATACATTAACAGACATTCTTTTATCATTTGTCAATTTGGACGATTGAAAAAGATATAGATTTTTATAAACTGCTATGAGTGTTGTGTGCTTAGTGTCATGTAAATCGTGTTTCATTAGCTTTAACAATGTGTGAATATGAACTACACGCAAATGATACTGTAATACCTTATGATCCTTGTGCTGTGTTAATATATCAAGCGACACGAGTCACCGACTTATTGATCAGATCAAAGACGCATAAACCAGTACGAGCAGCCTAGAGTTCTTATTGGTCCTTGAGATAGCAGCTTTTCGTTTAACCCAGCCGATTCAGTCCAGGACGCAAATATTAGCCTCCGTTATATTGAATCATATATTTTCAAACATACTTGGTTTATATGCAAGTAAATTCAGACCACATCTCACAACAATACAAGATCAAGCCAAACGTGGCTGTGATTTTGAAAAACTGTGACTAATAGATTGAGAATAAGTTGAGAATAGTAAGTCATATAACAATAAGCAATAGATCAAATAAAAGCTTATAATAAGTGAAATGCAAATATATATAGTTTAGTTTCTTAACAGTTAAATAATAAGGATATATGTGCAATATTATTCCACTGATAGTTCTCAGACGTTACCCATAATTTAATTTTCGCTAGGATATAACAGATACATATGTAGTCTTATAATAACAATCTTGCAGAGTTTGTTTCGTTCGATGACTAAGAAAATATGGGCATATTGTGTTTTATTGAATTAAACAAGTATGAAATAGAACTGACTAACTAATATTGGCAGCTTGATATCATAGAATAAACATCCTTTAATTTTTGTTCTAAATTCATAATTGAAAATATCTAAACTTATCATCTTATGTGTAGTGTAGCAATATAAAACAAAATTTCATGGATTAATTGTTTCCTGTAAATATTGAATTTTTTTTTCTTTTGAATATAATGAATTGGATGAAATCTTCAGTGGTTCAGTAGCTAATGTCTCTATATCAATCAAATTTTTTGAATGATCAACAAATAACGAGTCTTGATGAAAGTAACAGAAGATTACTATTCATATAATATTTGATTATATCACTTCAAACCTTTCTTTCTAAGAACTTATTCTTTCTTCCTGTACTATCTCCTTATACACAATCTTCTACATATAACCACCACTGAATTAACTATTTCTATGAATCCGGTGTTCATCTTGTGGTGCTAACGCGGTATGGCAACTTGGACCGATGCATATACGTGCCTGGTCATACGTTGCAGCTGACTGACTGACTGATTATATCAAATGAATTAATAGAAAAAATTAAGTTGAATACTTTTTCTAAAAATTTTCAAATGTTTGAATTTTTAATTAATTAGAATTAATGTCCAAAGTACTGACAAGGATTGTTTTATTCTTTATTTTTATAAAAGCTGTTGGGTTATTTTCAAATGAGGTTCCTCTAAATCGTGGACAGACACCTGATTTTGATGATGAAGATACTATAGTCTCTGATTTAACATGTATCGGAATAGTTGGAATTGAAGATCCTGTACGACCAGAGGTTCCTGCAGCTATAAGAAAGTGTCAACGCGCCGGGATCACTGTACGTATGGTAACCGGTGATAATGTTAACACAGCGAGATCAATAGCAGCTAAGTGTGGCATTCTTAAGCCAGGTGATAACTATATTGTGTTGGAAGGAAAAGAATTCAATGCTCGTGTACGTGATCCACGTACAAATCGTGTTAGACAAGATTTAATGGATCAAGTATGGCCACAGTTAAGGGTTCTTGCACGTTCTTCACCACAGGATAAATATACATTAGTAAGTGGAATTATAGATAGTCATATTTCAACTCGTCGTGAAGTTGTTGCTGTAACGGGAGATGGTACAAATGATGGACCTGCATTGAAGAAGGCTGATGTTGGTTTCGCTATGGGTATAGCAGGCACAGATGTTGCAAAAGAAGCTTCAGATATTATATTAACAGATGATAATTTTACAAGTATCGTTAAAGCTGTCATGTGGGGAAGAAATGTCTATGATTCTATTTCAAAGTTTCTTCAATTTCAACTAACTGTTAACATGGTTGCTATTATAGTTGCATTTGTTGGTGCATGTCTAATAACTGTAAGTTAAAGTAAAAATAATTTCTTATTTAGATACAATCTATGTTGTACCGGTGAAATATTGTTTTTATTCACTATTAAATTGGTATTTTTTTGGAAATAAACATTCATTGAGATGTTTATATTTGATCATTAACAAAGATTATAAATAATCTATCTAAATTTCCTTTCAATAATCTCCAAAGTAAAAAAAGAAAATTGGTGATTTAAATTATTCGTAGCATAGTTCTAACTCTGTCTTTAAATTATTGTATAAAAAGGTTACATCCATAATAATAATCTAAGATGAAATTTAATTCTTTTGACCTTATTTAAAGTAATTAATTAATAAGGTTACAGGTGTAAAAATAAAGGAAATAGAATCAAATACGAATACATAGTAAATTAAATTAGGAAATTATTCGATATTCATTTTAAGATGTAATTTTGGAAAGAAAAAAAATGAAAAGAACACTTTGAACTCATATTTTAAAGATACTTTGGAAAAAAAAACTATCTTAACAAATTAGTTGAATATTTAAAATCAACGTCTATTATGTATAATAAAGGAATATAACATTTAAGATACATATTTATACGGAATAAATACAGTTGAAATGATAGTTTGGTTTGTTTAGTTTCATTTAAAGAATTTATTTAAATTTAAACAAATTACATGATAAAATGTATAAATACAAGATATTATTTAAGTGAAGTATATTTCAGAGATATAACCTGATATTATAATATGCAGAATCTTATTTTTAGTTTTTTTTGTATAATGTCCTGAATTGTCGAAATAACGTATAACCATTTACTAAGAAAAAATTAACTTTCAACGTTACCAATGTTGCTTTGAGTTTGATAGTTTAATTCATGAGTTGATGTGAGCAATATCACTATTGAAAACGTGGAAGTATTGGACGGCCATCTTGTCCAAGTATGGAACTTCTCAGAGGTTCGCATCCACGATTTCGCACGCGGGACTCAAACCAAAAATCTTCAGTTTCGCACACGAACGCTTAATCTCTAAACCACTGAGTTGTTACCCAACGATGTCAATGTCTGACTTCAACCGTTCCATGATCTTGCTCAACTGTTCATCTATTGCCTGGAGTAAATACCTGTCTCTACCTGACACAGATTAGACTCCACGAGTTAAAACCCTTGTCTGAGGTATAAACCTGTCTCATGAATTCAACTATTGAAACCACTACAATCCTCCCAAACTCCCATCTTAATGATATTGTTTTAACTAAATATTTGGATAGTTGATATTATCCTCTGTAGTATATTGAACAATATTTGACTGACTTAAATATATGTAAATGTAAGTTACTATTTGTTATTTGTTAATGTGAGCTAGTCACTTATTTTTAGTGTGATGTTGAAGTACAAGTGATATCACAAGATGAAATCTTATGAAGCATAGAGTTTATTACATTATCTTCATGATTTTAAATCATAAATACAGAGTTCAGAGTAGAGAAAAGTAAAATGTATAATAAAACTTTTTATCCAGTTCTTTGGGCATAAAAAATAAGATTTTGAAATTCCATACATTTTGATTATTTTCATGTTACTTGCATATGATAAAAGTAGATAAACAGTTAGAAATGTCATCACTGAATAACAGTGCTAACTTTGGAATAATTAGAAAAACTTAATTGTTGCGCAGAAGATACTACATTTTAAAAATTTCATGTCAATGGTACTTCAGAGGTTGGACATTTGACTCACTTTATATCGTTAGATATATCAACACAGTCTTCGTCTATTAACGAAGCAGAAGAGTGGTTGGTAACTATACAATTATAGAATACATTTTTAAGAAATCAGTACTGGTATAATTAGAACTTCAATTCTATTAAATCGTAAATCGATAGGAAAAGTGGTAAGATCATTGGAAAGAATTTATGGTGAATATTCAACTTTCTGTTTGCCTGATGAAATTAAAAAATACTGGCGGACTTGAGTATACCAATCAGAATTAAGATAAGTCCTCAAGTATGCTGCGCGAAATCTGAAGTACAGTGACACATAACTTGTATATTATTAATAGTCAGATGAAAAGCGATAATAGTTTACTCTTAGAATACTCGGGATCAATAAAATGTCTATGATATATCCAAAATGTGGATTTGAGATGGTGCTTAAACTAAATGTCAAAACGTACCTAGCAATAGAACAGATTGTGTGTCTAAGTGGTGTGAAGTTAATTCTTCATCGAAATTCCACCTATAAGTTTCTAAAGTCTGTAAACAGAAAGGTTGCTGAGCATTTCATTATAACAAATGTCAATTTGGGATGAAAATTCCAACTCTAATTTGTGAACCCAACTCAAAGCTATAGCCTTTAATGAATAGTTTACAATATGACGGTTAATGGTTCAGTTATTTTTTGCTTTTGGTTGTTAGTTGTTTTGTTTAGCATTGCCTGATCGGTAGATAGCTTATCCAAGAATATCAGTATATTATACTCTTACTATTTGTGCCTATAATGTAGTTGAGAAAAATAAGGAAAACTTCTTCAATGAATGTAAAGCGATTAGAAACTGTCTTTAGATACGCATTTTTTAAAAAAAATACATACTTCTGCTGTTTATGATAATATGCATACATTCAAAGAAGATTGAAAGGAATATTTGTACAAAGTAAATGAAGTTATTATACTTATCTGGAAGCTATATTAAGAGTCTAATCAAACTAGTTTGTTATATGGTTTAAATAAATAATTATTTCTTATAATTACATTTTCATTGTCCATTAAACAGGATAGCCCACTTAAGGCCGTTCAAATGTTATGGGTCAACTTAATCATGGACACTTTGGCGTCATTAGCCTTGGCAACCGAAATACCAACGGAAGAGTTACTTGAACGAGCACCATATGGTAGAACAAAGCCCATTATCAGTCGTAATATGATTAAAAATATCCTCGGGCAATCTATTTATCAACTAAGTGTTATTTTCTTTCTAATATGGTTCGGTATGTCAAGCAATCGCTTATTAACTGTTGTTTATTCTTTAGAATTATATTTATTTTAAATCTGGTTACAATAACGATACATCAAAATAATACATTTTTCTGATCTATGAATTCGAGTACATTTTTGTCTGTTGCAACTTATATTACTCAATAAATTTTAAGTAGATAAACATCGAGGTTAAGTAAAGCCATAAAATTTCATTTTCTTTTCGAAAAATGTTGGTTTCATTTTATAAAACAGATTATAGCAACAAGTTATCGGAATAATAAGCCATTGAAATTAAGCGTTTAGGTGCTTGTTGTTGAAGTACTTTAAAATTAACAACGTAAATTTTATTTGTAAGGCAGATATTAACATTTGTCAAATATATTCTATTTCCTTTTGTTAAATTACTTTCTGAATAAGCTAGTCTTTATCACATTTTAGTAAAAAATTGCCGACGTACTTTCCGAATTCCAGTTTTCGTTCCAAGTGATTGTCTTTCAATTATTTAACGAGTCGCATAAATAGAGTTTTCCTTTTGCAGTACATGTGTTTGTGAATAAGGAAAATAAAATGGTGTATCCAGTATTTCACGACTCTAAACAAAGTGTATCGTAACTCATGGTCATGCCACATCATATATACATATAAAGTTTCTTCGAATCTACTCCTTGTCATAAATGTTTGTGTTTAGTAAATCATTTAGTCTCATGATAATCAATCAACAAATAGATATACAGTACGATATTGCGCGACCGTCCATCATTGTTTTCAGTGAGTAACTGCCTCACAACAGACACGGTTGAACTCCACTGGTCACGGCTTCTTGCCAGAACTCCAGGAAATATTGTTATAACTGAGGTAGTTACTTAATGAAGACACTGATGGATGGTCGCTCAATTGCATGGATTGGTTGAAGTTAGACATTAACACCGTTGGATCGCGACTCAATGACCTAGAAATTAGGCGTTCATGCGCGAAGTCGAAGGTCTTCGGTTTGAGTCCGGCGTGCCGTTTCGTAGATGAACACTGCCTAGAAGTCCCGTACTAAGACGAAATGTCCGTCCACTGTTTCCAGGTTTCCAATAGTAATCTAGCTTACATCGACTCATGGATTCAACCGTTAAATTACTACAATCTCGACAACCCCTTATATAGATATGCAACACATTTACTTGACAAAGATTTGATTCTAGCTGCTTATGTAAATTTGCTCTGTACTCCATTAACTATATTTTATTTGATGTGACAATAATACAAGATAAGGCATAAATGGTCAATAATAATAAATTTAGTTTAGTTGTGTAATTTGGTCACTGATTGTGACAATGTGAGATGTGAAAGTCTTAATTTGTGATCTTATAAACAACCAACGTTAATTTTTCGCATCAATTAAAAACTAATTTTAGTGTTACATTCACTTTTATTCTTTATTTCATGACCGATCTTTTATTTCTTGAAACCCTTAATATTTCTGTTCTATGTGTGCTTTTTATTGTTACAATGTTTTCACCTATGTACTTTTCCTCTCAGGTGAATTACTGTTAGATGTTGAAAATGGACGTGGTTTAAGTGCTAAAGGTATAAATCGTCCAACAGAACATTTCACTGTGATATTCAATTCATTTGTTATGATGACATTATTTAATGAAATTAATGCTAGAAAAATACATGGACAACGAAATATATTCTCTGGATTAACTAACAATTTATTATTTGTTATAATTTGGATTACGACATTTGTACTACAAGTAAGTTGAAAATAAATGTCAGAAAGACTGGTTTTCTTACTTAGTTGCTTTTTAGGACACAGTTCTACTCTTAAATTGTTAGGATAATCATTTTTAAAACTGAATTTCACATACACCATTTTAATGCTCATCTAAAAAAGTATAGTCCTTCATTGTTCAATATACATAATCTTTTGTCAGTGATGAACTACAATAAAGCATGCAAGCTAGATATCAGTTTGTTTCTTTGGGGTAGTTTTTTATTTAACATCTTTAAGCAGCTTTAAGTGTATACGATCCCTTTACCTCTAGATGAAAAAGAATAGATAGCTTTTTGTTTTTATATTGTTGATGATTATTTGTACCAACTTTTTTTCTCAGACGTATATTAGAGTCAGAAATATTAAAACCTAATTAAACAAACTGCTATTAAGCGTTTTAATGAATGAAATAAGAACATATTATATCAGTCAGTTACGGAAAATATAACACTTGATGTGATTATCCATTATGTCAGTTAGCTTATTTATATCAGCTCAGCAAGGGTGTAGTGAACAAGAACTCGAGTTGGGACAATCTAATGTATTTGAACACAAAATAACAGAGCATCTCACTAAAATCTGAGAACTATATACAGTAAATCGTTAATTTGCAAAATATCAATCCATTGTCTCAAACTTCACTTTTTCTGTTACAAACATCAACCCATTGTCTCAAATTTCATTGCTCATGCATTTTCGTACCGATTGCGTTCCGTTCCCGTTCTTTCCTCATCGACCTTCTACTGAGATACATTTAATGCCTGGCCACCATTATATACTACTTGTGTGGATATAAGTAATCCACACCACACGGAAATTCGATAAGATATATAGTAAATACGTAAGAATACCGGTGATATCTATGAGATGTGTATGCCAAAACGTTAGTAATTACAAAACATTTATCCTGGAAATTAACCATAAGTTAGCTATTTTCTTCTAAAGAATCGTTGAGTTAGTCTACACTCATTTAATAATACTTTTAAACAAAAAAATTAGTAATTCAATACTGCATAATAGCTGAAGTCATTAATCATTGTGAAACAAATCTGCTATTGACATTTCTACTACTATAAAGTTAATGAAAGCTATATTGCATCAAACAGTTCCCTAAAAGGGAATTCAAAATATCTGCAATTAGTCTGTTGGTTCAAATATACCTGTTTAATTCATGGTGGAAAATTTAAAAATGTTTATTACTAACTTCATGACATAGTATACTGATAATGAATGGATGATGAAATGTTTAATGTAAAATTGTACGTCAAACATGTAAATTGGATGGATTACCAGGTTTTTCAATATGTTGATTTACAAACATTCTAAGTATCTATGAAGTAGACCAATTATTTGCTGAGTGAAATATTAAAGTGATGTTTTATTTTGTTTATGAACGTTACAAATAGTTACTTGCACTAATCTCATTTCAGTCATACTTGATAACATTAGTAAAGAGATTTACAAATAAGTAATTTATTAGATTGTTCGTTAACGTCAGTAAATCTGTCGACACTGTAAACTGTCTACAGGTATTACGTAATTGTTTGATTTATAACAGCTACTGACTTATTCTATATACTCCCATTTACTGATTGACCAGATAAGTAAATCGTATAGAACTCATTGTGATACGAATTCTTAATCACTGATAAATTTGTTACGGATTTATAGTTAACATATAAGTAGATCTTCATCTACAGTTTTGTACTCTTTTTTATATTTAGTCATATCAGTCCTTGTTCAGTTATATGGAGACAAGTAAATAGTTTTATCCTCAGGATATAATAAGAAGATAAACCACTAGTCTATCCAGATAGAAAATTAATCACTGGAACGTAGTATAACATTGTAATGTAGTTAGATGTTTATTCTTTGAAATGCATAATGTGATAAACAATTTTATGTGCAAAAGTTTCCTTTTGGTAAGGTTTATAAACAAAAATAAAGTTCCTTATTTGCTAAAAGGTGTGTTCAAGTTGAGATAAAAATAAAAGAGACTATTAACGAGTTTCAGAATTTGATTAAAAATAATATTTAAAGAAGGGTATTTTGTGGATATTATAGTAATTTCAATGGTTGAGATCATGAGTCAGTTGAAGCTAGACCACCGTGGAAAACCTGGAAGCACTGGATGGCTCTTTCGTCCTATTGTCAGACTTCTCAGCAGTGCGCATCCACGACCTCACCCCCTGCGTGATTAGAACCCAGGACCTATCAGTCTCGCGCGCGAGCGCTTAAACACTAGATGTGTCGCTCAATTTCGTGGATTGGTTGAAGTTAGACATTAACACCGTTGGATGCCGGTTCAGTGGTCTAGTGTTTAAGCGCTCGCGCGCGAGACTGGTAGGTTCTGAGTCCGAATCTCACAGGGGGCGAGGTCATGGATGCGCACTGCTGAGGTGTCTGATAATAGGACGAAAAGGCCGTCCAGTGCTTCCAGGTTTTCTATGGTGGTCTAGCTTCAACTGACTCATAATCTCAACCATTAAAAATAATATTATCCTAATAAATATGTTCATTAAACGATACTTATTGCCTCTTTTCTACTCTATAATCTTAGTATGTGTTCTTGAACTAAGTAATCTTGGGAACATATAGTTCATAACAGATAATTTTCTTTCACATAATTCTCAATACTTTGGATTATATTTCACCAGAAAATATACATCCCACTGATAAGTATTTAAGTATATTCATACTAATAATCTAAGAAATCCTAATCACGTGTTAAGTTACTTTGGGTTCAGAAAACATTCAATACACCATGAATATTCAGAACTGCTACTACTTTATACACACAATATTATTGCTTATAAAGAATGTATTATATGTGATTTCAGAAAAGACAAAAAATGAGTAATGTCGAAAGCCAATTCAAAATTGATTCTTAACCTAGTTTCTGTCGATATGAGGAAAAAGACAGATATGTTTAGGCCAGAAAATGTGGTTGATTATTTTCTGACTATCGTAACCAATGGCTGGAGACTCTGGGTGACATGGCTCAGAATCGATCACAATGGCGTAGGTGTATACACTCTCTGTCTTCCTTTAAATTAAGAGATTAAAATTATTTCATATCTTCCCTTCTACGAACTTTCTTTCTGCATTATATACTTACATAAAATCTTTATTTTACACCATTGAGCTAACTGCTTCTATGAATCAAGTGTTCATCTTGCTATGCTAATGAGGTGTGGCAACTTGGATCGATGCGTGTATGTGCCTGGTCCTACGTTGTAACTGACTGACTGGAATAATATAAAACAATCTTAATGTACTATTTACATTAACTCATTCTGTTTTTTTATTTGATGTATTGAAAATAAAAGAAATTTATTTAATTTTTCTCTGATCATGAACTTGATTGAAATAATATCCATTAAGTTTTTCATTTTTGCATACTTTTTTTTTATCTTTATAGGTTATAATTATTCAATTTGGTGGCTATGCATTTAGTACACGACCATTAGCTTTAGAACATTGGCTATGGTGTTTATTTTTTGGAATAGGCACTCTGCTCTGGGGTCAGGTTCGTTAAAATTTTTCATAAATATTATTTTTATCATTATTATTATTTCAATAGTTGAGATCATGAGTCAAATGAAGCTAGACTACCACGGAAAACCTGGAAGCACTGGACGACCGTTTTGTTCCAGTATGGAACTCCTCAGCAGTGCTAGTTTGCGGTCTCGCCCACAGGGCTCGAACCAAGGACCTATCATTCCATTGTGGTCTAGCTTTAGTTGACCCATGAATTCAACTTTTAAATTATTATAATATCCACAAAAATTCCTTTCTGGTGTGAAAAGATGTGAAAAACAATTCATTCCGTTTTCATTTTTTCATCATTCATTATTTTCAACCCAAGGTTATTATTTCAATACCAGTGTGGATAATACCAAAGAGAAGACGTAGAATAGCCAAGTCCAGGCGTTTAACATTAATTGCAACACAAGATGCATTGGGAATGGAAACAGACGGTCTAGTTACTCAAGATTTTGTACATCCACAACTTGCAGATGGTGGTGTGGTGCATCGAGCTAGTACAGGTTTTGTTAGTAAAGCGGCAAATGCGGTCGCTCGTGGTTTTGGTGCAATTTATACACAACCTGAAGGTGAAGAAGAAGAGGAAGAGGAAGAGGAAGATGAAGAGGAAGATGATGAAGATAGAGAAGATATAGTTAGTGCAAATCTACGTAATACTGGTCAAATTTTATGGATTCGAGGCTTATCAAGATTACAAACACAGGTACGTTTTCTTATAGTAAATAAGCTATATGATATAATATGTCATTAAGTGAGTTAATCTTATGCATCTAACCAATTGACAAATATATATGGGTTAGTTCAAGCAGTCACATAATTATTAACACAATTTGGAGAAATCTTGGAGAATTGGAAATCCTAACAGTATCAATAGTAGTGAAAACCAACCTTTATATAGAAAAAAGTATGAAATTTTGGGACTTATGATCTAAAGGAAGACAAGGATTTATATTGTGCCTGATATCTTAAAATAATTTTGATAGCAAGTGTTAGAAATACAACTACTTCACTAAAGAAAAGCGAAGTGTTCGGTGGGTGACAGCAAAACCATTCATGATCTTGCTTCAGATATCAAAAGAACGGTGAACGTAATTTGTTTTACATTGGTAGATATAACTAATTTTCATTTCCATTATTAATTTAATTATCATTATTCGCATATTTTAATATACGGTTATATGCAAATTGAAATAAACACCTTTTATCTAATAAGCATGTGGTTTTTCCTTGAAATAAAACTTCATTCCGTAAGTCTATATTATTATATGTTTTTTTAACTTGAAAAAATTGCAAGCATTCTTCTTGAAGTAAATGATCTCATTGTTTTTTGTAAAATCAAGGTACATATAAATCTCTTCTCGTATAATATTCCCATTGAATAGAGAAGAAACACCACAGACGACATGATTTCTCGTATTTTAAACATAAAATTATTTAAATAGTTTTCCAGATTCTGACACATTTCATTAATACAAAACTAGTTTATTTTTATATACTTCAGGTGATAGCTGACAACAATAACAAATACCACATATTTGGGCATATTTAATTTTTTTAATCAGTCTATAAATACCTTGATTCTCAGTAACGTAAAGACAACCCTCTGTTTCATAGATTTAGAAACTCTCTACATAGTTACAATTCTCATGACATCTAGTTTTGACATTTGTAAAGGAAATATGCTAAAAATAAATAAATTCATAAATAAATTTTTTATAAATAAATAAATAAAATACCAACTAGGTGATCAAATCATGGAACAACTTATACGTAATAAATCCTTCTAAGTTAATATTAATGATAATAATGTCAGTGTTTACTGTGAATTATTTTGCTTGAAAACACACAGTAATAGGAGAAGTTCGTTGACTACTACCTTAATGACTGTATGTCTGTATTTTCATGTATGAGATGACAAAAAGAAATGCAATATTGTGTGTACATTTATGTTTGATTGCAATCAACAATCACTATTGCATGAATTACGGTTTAATCTGAGAAGGAAATTGTTTGACAAATAATCATTTTTAAAAATCAATTCTAACGACGAAATAAAAATAAACACCTCGTGAACACTCAACTACACAATTAAATGTTATCTTATTTAAGCTAGTTGGGTTGTTCTGTAATTTTCTATACTATGTATACTTGTTGTCGTATTTTGTTATTAAATGCACGAATTTTAAACGAAACAAGGATCAGATTATAAAAAACACTTTATTTGCTTACTATTGTTTCTTTTTGTTGTTGTTTGTGTTTCTTAAATGTTTAGTGTACTTTGAATTTACTTATCTAAACATGATTACTTCATTATCATAACACAAATAAAAATGAAAACTTTTTGTAAACATCATTAAATGAATTTCATTCTTTCAAATATTTTCTTATATTTCCATTTTGTTTACTTTTGAAAACATCACTCTTACTAATGATTACATCATTAGTATAATGATGATGAAATCATTTGCATAAAATGAATTGAATCAATGAAATTAAACTAATTAGTGTTGTTTCATATTAAATGTTAAATCGTTTTATATGTTGTTATATTTTGTTTGTTTACATTCTAATCATTTGGATTAATTTCATAAACACGTTGATTGGTGCACCAATCTTCGTTCTTGCTCTCTTTAACATTTGGATTAAATTAACAAAAATATTGAAAAAAAAACTTTTTTTTCATGCTTGGTTTGTATGGTGTACATATAACAATAATATAAGTGAATTTTGTGCAAAAAGGTATTGGTTGAGTAATTTAAAATTCTTATTGATTATTGAATATACAAAAACAAAAGAAGAAAAACTAATCATCTACGCTGATATCATACGGCACACTGAATAGATACATGGATAACCATTCCGAATTCATAACTGATGCAGTTTAGTATGTATAGTATAACTGAAATAATAACACTATTTGATTGAATTAAATCATTATAGCGTTTAGGTGCGTATAGATATTTTTCTTTGGAAATTATTAAAAAGTTCATTAGAATTATTTCATATCTTCTGTAGAAAAATTTTAAAAAATATTTCTCTTTAATTAAAATTTAATGATTTCATTCATGAAATAAATCTAAGTGACAGTTTTATTTATTATCGAAAGTCTATTCGTTGTAGTAACTTAATGTAGAGAAGTATTCTAAAAAAGTTGCCAATTAAATTGACTAATTTATCGATAATTGTTGAATACTGGTTTTGTAGAATCGGTTTTCTTAAAGTTTAAGATTAACTTTGTCGTCCTCACAGGTTCTTCAGTTAATGTTACATTGAAAAAATCCTTTAAGGTGGTTGTTTTCCAACTCTATTATGATCGAATGGTTAATAATATGAACAAAATGTACATTCTGCTCATGTTTTGTCTACGAATCTTGTCAATAATAATGTGGATACAATGTTATCTATAAGTGTTTCAAATGTTTATATTACATAAATTCATTTTGGCAGACAAACGAAGGGATGAAAAGTGGAGAAGCCAGATGTACCTGCTCAAAGTATTACTGATAACTGATATCAGTATAACTCAAAATAGATAATACATATTGCAACAAGGAGACTGGAATTAGATAATATAAGTGTAAAGTCACACACAACAACACATGAGACGTATAATTGTAGAACCACAGTAACATGAAAATAAAAGATATACGTGCTGAAAGTCATAAACGCTTAATAATAGAATAATTATTAGAAAAGTAAAAATGACTTAATAGTCACATTCTGAGCTATTCAAGTCTATCCAATAGTAGGGATTTGTGTACATAATAATGTATTTATAATAATATAGAGAAACTGCTACATCGTTTACGAAACTCCATTCTTGTCATTCTGTCGATTTCACGTATCCTCTATATTAATTTACACTTCGACATCAAGATATACTAGGTGAAATCAAAATAGCTTATGTTACCATTCTTTACTAAATTGATTTTCTTTATTGTCTCAAAAACTTTAGTTCATAACAAATAAAATGTCAAAACAATATATACATAATCATATACGATTGTCATGAAACACATTAGTTTATTCACTCATTAAGTCCTAGTAGTACTAATACTTACATTAAATTTAGATAAAAATGTTTCACGTCTCAAATAAATACCTAATTCACTATTCATCATGTCTATTTGTTACGTAAAACAGGTGAAATATCTTTTTTTTGTTTTTTTTCTCAATTTCATAATTAAAATTATTTAATAAATCTAAATCTGTTGAAATGGCATTGTAAAATTTAGTTAAGTTCATTAACTTGACAGATGTTTTTTTTCTTTCTCCTGTCCTTTCTTTCTTTCATTTGTAACACCCCCCCTCATATATGTGGTTCGAATCGCACAATTCACGTAATCATCGTTTTTGAAAAAAAATTACAAAAAAAACAAAACAAAATGGTTTATTCACATTTGGTATACCATTTTTACATAATACAATTGATATATTTAATGTGAATTTATATGGTTATGTTGGGTGTTTTTTTATTGTTTTTACAATCCAAACCCTGTACACCAATTCATATTTGACCTGCATTTGAATGCTTTTTATTTATTCTTTAAATAATACAATGAAAAAAATATTCCCCTTTTTTGTTATCCTTTATCTAAACCCCTATGCTTCATATTTGTTTTTTTCTCTATTGAATATTTAATACAAAATTTACTTATCTTTTAATAATAATTTAATTTTATTCATGACATGTTGAATCTTTCTGTTTGTTGAACTTAATCATTATTTCTGTCTTGTAATAACCTTTGTTCATGAATGAATGAATCTATCTGTATATAAATATATATCCTTGCTTTTTTTTCCATATGTTTGTATGCTTAACTGGTTTATCGATACTAACGGTTTTAAAATACATTAAATGTATAATATTGTCTTTTCCTGAATCCTTTTTGTATTTTATCTCCATTAAATTGGTTTTCCCATTGCATTTATCCCTGTGTTGTATGTAAACTTTTCCCATTTTTTTGCCTGATTATAAAATTGGAAAAAACATTATTTGAAAAAAATAATTATTTGCATGTTTATCTAATCTGTATAATTAATCCTTGATAACTGTGAACATCCTATGTTTGATTGAATTATCCTGCACGTATCTATTCCCTTTTGTATTTGGTGTGATTGTTGATAATACACATACATTAACTTTATTTTATTCCCCTAAATTAGTCTGCACGTAAACCTAATTTAGATAATCGTACAGATGAATGGATTGGAAGTGTTAGACGCTTTACTTTAAGTCAGCTTAATACTGAAGGTATGACACATCCTTTAGTTTTAGCAGCTCGACGTCAAAGTACAACAGTTAACCGAGGTGGATCGATTAGTGCTTCTGGTAATCTTCGTCATACAACACCACAAGATGTTCCTGAAGAAGATGAAGAGCATGAATATGATGAACGTATAGATAAAAATTAACTCTTTTTTCCCATCATTGTTGAGTGACATTCTTCATTTGGGGTGATTTTCTTCTAAACAATTTAGATATTATACATATATATACATATACATAGAAATGAGTATTTATCATCCGGTTTTATACAACATACAATTATATAAATATACAAGTCTTTTTGACAAATGTAGGTTAAAAATCAGATTGGACACTCACATCTACTAAGTTATAGCTTAAGAGAACTTTGGAAATTCATCAATAAAAATGAAGAGTGTTTTTCACTTTTTTTAATAGTTAATATTGAATAGACTCAAATGACTTACATATATTCAACACAATTTTCTTACACATACTGTTTTTTTCTCAACTTGAAATTCTACATTTTTCAAGTACGGAAAAATACATTAAATTGTTTTCACTATTGATTTTATTTTTGACTTTCCTAATCACTCACTAATTTTGATTTCAACATATAAAAATATACATATATCTTTAAATCATATGGACAGAAGGCATATATTTACATTTAATTTGTATCCGATTAGTTTAATCGTAATAAAACAAAATTATTGCTACTATGTGTAATATTATAATTCATAATTACAATTATACCTATCAGTCTAATGATAGACTATAATTATTTTCCTTTTTTTCCTATCATTATTACATTTACCAACTACTACTATTCTCTTGATATTATTCTTATAGTTACTGACATGATTATTTTTACTGCTACAATACATCACTTTTATTCAATCTTACTGTTCAGCATTGAATGTGACAGAATAAATAAATTTATCATCTGAAAATGAAGAATAGACGATATAGCATATAATCATTAATTATTCGATTCGTATCTTGGTAGTACTTTCTCATTTGTTCTTCAAAAATACACTTTGGACAAGGTTTACTTCAAATGAATATATATATATATATATATATATATATATTCATTGAATCAATGTCTTAGTCCATGAATTGCGTTTACATTAGAATATTATCATTCCTTTGTTTCCAGCATTTCTTTCTGTCGATTGTTTAATTATAGTCTTTTGAAACGATGTAAAGATAAAATATTAATAAAGTAAATTGATCACTCGCTCAAGTTGATATGTAATGGACTTAATAAAAATAAATTACTCTTAATTCATAGAGTTTATAGAGTTTTTTAATATGTTCTTTTAAAGAATAATTAATACTTTGAAAGCTTGCACAGTGAGTATGAGAAGTATCACCCTACTCATAAGGTAATATATACTGGAGTAATATCAAGGTGTTATATATTTATATCTATACAAATTTTCCGTTATCAAAAAATATCAGTCATTCACCTCAGAGGACAATCTTTACCTATTCATATTTTTTTTATTCAAAATATGGTTTTTAGCTTATGTCATTATGAATGAGTCTGTTTATTTTTTATCTTCCTAAGTACATTTTAATTTTCTTTTTAATATTATGTTGCCTCATCTAAATATATTATATTCTGATCTAGTATCTAATTCATATTTCGATAAATCTTTATTACTCATATGGCTCAATACTTTCACAGGAAATTATTTACAACTCATGCATTCATTGATTTTTGTGTAGTTAATGTTTATTCTCATCATCCTTATCATCATTGTGAGTAAGTGAATAACATTCATCTTTTAGTCTATGTGAAAAACATATAGAACAACATATACAATTGTTTTTTTTTTCATACAATCAAAACAATTAACTTTGATCAGTAACAAACGATAATATCATGATAATGAATAAATTGTAATAATATTGATTTCCCTAAATTATCTGATAATGGAATATTATTCTAAATAAAATATAAAAAGAAATAATAAATAAGTCATTTGTAATTATGATAGGCTTATAACAATATGATGTAATTATGTTAGTTCATTATTTACCAAATTGAAATGAATTGTCATCATACATTATTCATTTATTATTTTTTATTAAAACTAATAGTTAGATTAAACTAATCAGAATTGTTTGTTTTTTATTCAGTGTTAAAAACCGGTAAGCAACTTTGATCTAGTCATCAGAATTTGAATTAAATAAAATAGTTTCCTTTAGTTAAAAATAATAAATACATGAAACCTACGTTTATATTCAATGAACTTTAAACGAAATTCATTCTATACAAACTAGTTTTTCTCGTTAAGATTTATTGTTATATTATTTCATATCACTAAATAATGTGTTGTTCTTAATACATTACAGTTTTTTATTGACTTGTCAATTTACCTTAACCACATGACAGAAAAAGTGTCGCAATCATAAACTTTGATAATTAAGGTTTATTATATTATTTTATTCATATCTAAATACTGATTGAATTTTCCGTGAAGAAACATTTTTACTATCATCAATCAGCTCAACTATAAGTTATCATCATAATTAATTTCAAATAACTGATTCATTAAGAAGAATGATTACGGTTTAAATATATCAGTGATAGTGTTCTTGATGTTAATTGCAATGAGACTACCTTTGAGAATTATGAAGAAAAAGTGTGAATTCTCCAGAATTTGTGAAAATAACATGTTGATGACTGATATTCAATTAAAATTTAAATCAGATCAGGTGATTATTTCGAATAATCTTAAAACAAATGATTTAACACTGCTGTAAACATACACCTACAGAAACACTTGGATAGTAGTTCATTTATGAAATTTTCTTAAAACATATAGAAAAACAAAAACGAACTCAGTTGTCATTTCATAACGGATATTTTGAAATTGATTACCCACTTATTTATAAGAACGACCAACAAATAATTGATCAATAGTTTATAACACAAATCCGTATGACTTCATTCTATAATTTTCTTTATTCTTTTGCTGTTTCAGTTTTCATTCAATCATTAGCCTAGATATAGTTAATCTTAGCAAACCTAAAACCATTCTATAGAGGAAAGAATGTTGATAACATATGCATGACAAGTGGATATTTCTTACTAATAAAAACAAGTTTATTTTCGTTAGTTTCTTTTTTTAAATTGAGTCAGATTGTTTGCCAACTAACAATCTACAATTTCATTAACAAAAAATATCAATACAACTATAAAATTATGAAGTAACAATAAAAAATTTCCCTTAGTTACATGGATATAAATTGGAATAATTTAAAAAATAGAATAAGAAAACAAATTTCAAAAAGAAACGGGATCTTGAAATGATTAAGGACAAATTATATAACAAAAATAATAACAGATTTAGGATAATAATAACGGATATATATATATTTATTGGATTGATTTAAAGTAAAAAACCCGTTGCGCAAATGAGTGACTATCTAGATTCAGTAGCTAATTGAATAATGCAATGGTGTTTAAAGCTAACAGTACTATGTTTGGATCCCACAGCGATTATCCACTTGGTGAGTTTCAAATAAAACAAAATGTACATACTGGATTCTACTGCTAGCCACGTTCCATCTATTATAAATAAACTAAATATTACGAACCAAATATCATTACATTTTTTATTTGTGTAAACAATTATATCAAAAAGTAACTGTTTTTAGTATAAACCTAATTCGTCACTATAAAACAAAAATCTAAACATGTAGACAAATTCATTTTTTATGTGTTACTATCGTTATTTATATTTTGGACTTGAAGTTGTTAGAATGGGGGTTTGTGGAGATAGTGGTAATTTTAATAGTTGAATTCGTGAGTCGATTAAAGCTAGACCACCATTAAAAACCTTGTATTACTGGACGGCCGGTTCGTCTCAGTATGGGACTCCTCATCAGTGTGCAACCACAAACTCGCACACGGGACTCAAACGCCTAACCTCTAGACGAATAAGGCGGCACAGCCTTATACTGATAACTACCATGTGCTCACTAGTGACTAACTTCAAGAGGTAATTCTCGAAGTTCTAGTGAGAAGTTATAACCAGTGGAGTCCATTTCGTGTCAGTTAGAGACAGGTATTTACTTCAGACAATGGATGAATGGTTGAGCAAGATCGTGGATCGATTGAAGTTAGACATTAACACCGTTAGATTCCGGCTCAGTGGTCTAAAGATTAAGCGTTCGTGTGCGAGACCGGAGGTCCTTGGTTCGAGTCTCTTGTGTGGGATCGTGGTAGCACACATTTGAGGATTCCCATACTAGGATGAAACCGCCGTCCGGCGCTTTCAGGTCTTCAATGATGGTCTAGCTTACATGGACACATGAATTCAACAATTAAAGACTTGAGGATAACGGCCAGAGCGCTTAGTTGAAAAACGCTTAATGTGTCGGCTGAGGTTCGAGAAACATTGTGATATATTACATAAATTATTTGCTTTGACAGGGAATTTTCGATTTTGTTTTCATTCAACCAAATAATCATTATCTCCGCGTAAAATCTAATAGTACAAACTAAAGGAGAGAATAATATATATCATTCTGATGCTTCGAATTTTTTTAAATATTTAAACTATTTAATTTACAACTCACCAAATATTTTACTCTTTACAACTATGTTTATTTTGTTAAAGTCAATAAGCCTTATTTTAATCTCTGAAAAATGTTGTATGGCGGATAATGGTGGAACACAGTATGCTTATTTCTTCCTATTCGAAACTCACCAACTGGATATATTTATATACTAATGTTGATGCTCATATAATGACTTGAATCTAGTAACGTTCACTTTAAATATTAAACACTTTCTTTGATTATATTAAACTTAATTAGTTGTTATCATAGTTATTTATAAAGAGATGCAATATATTTTAATTTAAAGTAATGATAGAAATGTAGGTTTAGTTATTAGTTAAACAAGCTTACAATTCAAGCCCTGATCTTCATCCATTAGTATATATATATATATATATATATATATATATATATATATCCATATGAAGAAAAATATAATCACATATGCTTAATGGAAAAAAACGTTTGGAAAGTAGGATGTATAAAATATATTACACATCCTACCTGAACATTTAAGAACTTTTCTCTTGTTTTAGCTAAATACTAATGTTAATAAACCCGATGTCCATGAATAGTTAAATAGATAGGCAAAAACCTTGATAATCAAATATTCCATGATACTTTAGAAAGATAACAAACAATTGTACCTAAGTTTAATTAATATATTACTGAAATTAACGTTTATTTAAAGATCATTCATCGAATAGATTACCAAAATAGTTTACAGAGATTTATTTGATAATTTTATTATAAGCTATTCATGAATAACTTGTTAACATTTTTAATTTTATTCTTGTTGATTTGATTCGTATAAATTATATGAACATTAAGAATTACGCTCATTTTATTTTCTTCTCTCTTGATTTCCTTTCTTTTTTTTCTATTTTTCTCTACCTAATTGTTGTAAATGTCAACTTGTGTTGAAATTATGTTTGTGTGTGTAAATGGTTTTGTGTTTCGTAAATGTATGTTTGATCATATGTTTGAAATGTTTTTTTATAATTTTGTTCGGTACGGGTTTTTATTTTCTACATAATATTGTTTGGTTTTATTTCCCCTTCATTTATTTTTTTTCTTTTTTTGCTGTTTCAATTTGTCCACCTAAATGTTATCATTATTTTTGTTCATTTGGTATCACTTTCTTAAAAATTATTGAAATATGCTAACACAATTTGTAACTGTATTTCATATTTACTTATAACTAAAAAAATAGTTGAAAGTTGTACATGCTTTTCGAGATCAACGGGATTCAGAAGATGAACGTGCAAATATAGCAGCGTTAATGCATCATCATCGTTCATCAAAGGATGTCTTACAACAAACATCAAAGAAAAGAAGAAAATCACAACAACTGTATAAGAATAATAATGATAATAATAATATTAATTCACATCAACAATCTCATCGTTATCACCATCACCAACAGCGACGACAACAACTTCAACTAACAGATTCCGCAGACTTTTCTCCTACTTCCCCAGCCACATCAAATAAGTTAGGAGAAAAAATTGCAGAAGGAAATCCACCGTTAGTTTTAGAGCAAACCGCTTATAACCAAATTAATGATGAAGAAAAGTATCATGATAACAATGAGCATTGTGATGTCAACAATGATGATAATTATATCAATGCTAATACCAGTAAACAAAGACAATATCATGACGAGGAAAGTACACTTACCGAAGTAACAACAACGAAATGCAAAGGGAATAATGATGATAAACAGTTCGAAGAGACTGTTTGTCAAATTCCAAAGGAAACTACAGACAATATGATAAATCCAGATCTTGAAGAATGGATTAAATCGAGTTGGTTACATGATTCAAGTGGTCAAGAATACATAAGCTGTACTATGCCAGAATCATCATATAATATGGGAAATAATTTTCAACTACAAAATAATCCTTCAGCATGTACATTTGAGCGTCAGGATTCAAGTACCGTTGTAGTTGGCAGAAATCAACATTCAAGTCGGCCGCATAAACAGAGAAGATCAAGTAAACCACCTGCTCCGCCACCTCCATTTAAACAACCATTTAGTACAGCTACCTCAGACAGCTCTAATTTACTTTAAACTTCCTGTGATATACACTAATTCAACTGTTTAGTCCTAAATTTCAACTACCTATATTATTGAAAAGAACATGATATATAATCTCTTGTTGTTTATATAATAATGCATTGTTCCTCAACAAATTAGTGAATAAACATACTACTTTTTACTCTACATTAAAAAAAATTTATCCATTATTTGTAAATTAAATCTGAAGATATTGTCTATTAGAAACATTGTTCGTTTTTTAATCTCAGTGAAATCTTCATTCATATCTATGAAACTCTATACATTAACTAAGATTCTTACTTCATATATAAAATCTCATCTTAATTAATTATTTGACATTTTCCTTTAAACTTAATTCATTTCATATAAGAAAAAGTAGTGATTTGCCTAGCAGTTTAAAATTTGCTCAATCATCAATTACAGTGATTTTTATCATCATCATTATTATCATCATTATCATTATCATCTACAACAACTTCCTTTTTGGAAATCACTTTGTTTTCCAACGTATATTTGAAGAAAAAGACATTTTTTATATATAATATACTACTTCTGTATTCTTATCGTCAGTTACTTTGGTTTATTTTAACTAATTCTAATATAATGTTATTGTATTAAAAGAAATATTAAATTGACGTTTCACTTTCTATGACATCTTATTCCATCAATCTATTCATTTTCTATACTTAAATAAAATTTATGAAAAGAATTTTTCTCAGCACATTCTCCAAGTTTGGTTTGTTTGTTTTTTTATTAACAATTTCACACTGTAGATTGAGAAGCACAAAATTTTCCTCTTTTATTTTTAAACAAACGAAAATCAATAGAAACGATAAAAAACTTTTAAATTTAATGTGCACATATAATTATGATAATGTAATTAATTAATTAATTATTCTTTTATTATATGCATGGTTGTGAAATGTATTAACTGAATGCTTGAAATCAATTTTATTATCATTATCAATATTGTTATCATCATCATCATCATTAAATTATGTAACATATATTGAAACAAAACAACTACATCTCATTCCACTGAAGGGTAGGTTATCTTTATATATATATAATGTGACTACTAATTTACTTTCCTCCGCTTATTCGTTTTTCAACGTCGTAATCATTATTATAACTATCACCATCATCATTACTATCATGTGTTTAACTCATTATTATTATTATTATCAATATCATCATTGTGATTTTATTTTATATAAAGAGATTTAATTAATTTTATATATTTAAATTTTAGTTTGATTTAAGTTTATATTTAATGTTTTCAAAACAAAAATGAAACTTTATTTTTCTATATTTGTTGTTTTATTTTGCTGTTGTTGCTGTTGTGCACATGTTGATATATGTGAATTAGTTTTAATTTTTGGTACGAAATTTATTATTTTTGAGATAAAAAAATATTTTTAATAAATAAACATCCATGGAAAAAACCATTAGAAAGTAGTCAGTGATTACTCATTAGAATTTTCTTCAACTTCTTGTGTTATTCTGTTAGACTCTTAATACAACATTTTTTAGTTTACCATTATTAGGTTTACGTGATATGATAATCACTTAATATTTATTATTTTCCACACTACAGTATGTCTTGTCAAAATAGAATACCTTTTGTATGTAAACCGCTCTTTATATATATATACCTGAAGTTTGTGCTAATGATCTTATTCAGAAGAACAATGAAGGCTTCACAATTAAAACATCTAGATCAGGGAACAAAACTCTACCTAAATCAACCACCTGAGATACAGATCTCCACTATCCCATATATATATATATATAAAACATCCAAGAAGTTGTTATAACCGTTGTTTACTAATGAAATAGTTTTTATATTTACGGAGAAATCCATCTTTTTTAACTGTTTTATCATCACGTGTCAACGTGAAAAATTAATGTTAATCATTAGCAGGTAGACAAAAATTGTGTAACGAAAAAAATATATATGGATTATAAGAAGTAATAATTAAAAATAAAAAAAACATTGAATAAAAATAGAAAACTTTGAATTGAATATCATCCATTATTAAACATAATTCATTTTAATATTATAAAATAGCTCTTTCCAATCTTGTTTGATTCCTTAATTTTATTAAGTAGTATGAAAAGTAGTAATAGTTATTTATTTATTTAATTATGGTTTTAATAATGAGATCAACTTGTCAACAGATAATAACAAGTAATTATTAATTTGGTGACCAATACAATTCCAAGTCATTGTTTTAGTTTGCTTATTTATTTGAAGAACACTGTTCTATATTGACTACGCATAAAATATAAATTCATTTTAAAGCCTTTCTACTTTTTATAATTTAATTATAAGGAAAGTTTTCATTTCTATGCACTAAAAACAATGACCGTTACTGTTGTTATTAGGTTTACGTGATGTGATAATTACTTAATTCAATAGTGAAAATAAATTAACTGTCTCAACAGAAAATTATATCTAATTTTTAACTTGCCTCATAATGATTTACATTGTTTGCTTATTTTTAAGTCATCATTTAAACCATTAAAACTACAGATAACACCTCTTAGTACGAAACACAAGCATGATATTATAATTTCTATATAGATAGTTTATGACTAGTTTTTCTACCTATTATTTGGTCGGTGTTGTTTTTTTTCAATTTTACCCTATCACTATTAGATCACATTTTGCACGTGAACACATTTTCCTAGCATGTATAATAATAATAAGTCCATTCACTGATGAGCACCTTGTTTCAGAAAATGTTAAAATAGTTAATCTCTTTTTTCAACCTTTGAATAATTCATTTTTTTATTGTTGATATGATAGAATGAAAATCAGTTTTTATTTCTTGCTTAAGATAAGATTGGGAAAGAATATCGACATTCATAAATAAAAAATTTCATTTAGAATATTTTGCATGATATTAAATTTAACAGAATACTGTAAATATGTTTAAGTATATGTATGCATATATTTATACATATAAATGTTTCAACTTATGCTATATTCATATATACACATATTTATTTATTTATTGCTTTACTCATTTAATGTATTCAAAGCATGAATTCAGTAAGAAAGAAAAAATTATTTGAATTATCATTAATTATATTTCTTATTTTTTTAATTCTTTGAAAACGTTGGAAAAAAACTGGTACAACAATATATATTACGTCATTGCGGGGATGTGTGTGTGTAATTATTGGATGGAATATGACAGCTTCGTGCAATCAGAGCATTTCGTGGTGGTTATTCAAGTAAACTATGTGATATGATGGAATGGAGTAATCAATCGAAACGATATGTCAATCAATCATATATTTCACATTCATATCAACCAATAAATCGTTCATCAACAAATGTTCCAAAGAATAATGAAGAAATACTTACGAAATCAGTGGTTCATTTGAAAGACGATAATAATGATGATGATGATAATATTATTAATAATAAAGAAAATAATATTGGTGATGACGATAATAATGATAATAATAATAATAATAACTCTAGTACGGTCGACCAAGAAAAATAGTTTTACAGAATTTCTTCTCAGAACTTTTAGTAAAGTATTTTATACAACCAACTAAAAAAATAGATCTACTGTTATCATTCTAACTCTTTCTTTAACAACACACATTTATATATATATATATATATATATATATATATATATATATATATATATATATCAGATGAAAAAGGTATTTAACTAAATCAGTAATTAAGAAGTGTTTTCACTGCTTAATTAAAATTATGAACTAAATTTTGCCTTTGATGAATTCTACTCATGTTTTATTAATATTGTTATTATTATTAACATCATCATCACATGTCTACTAAAATCATTTGCCATTATTTACTATTTTTTACACAATTACTATTCCTGTCTAATAATATTTACAATTATATGTATAAAAGATTGTGATATGGTTTAAATTACTTAAGCATATTTCATTTACACACATTACCATCCTAATGTATGTATATGTAAGAATTTGTGTGAAATATTGAGATGAAATAATAGATATAGCAAACAATATACATTATCTTACAATTCAAGCATTACAGAACAGTTTAATTTAAAATAATTATTAACTATAAACTGAATGTTATCTGATGTATTTTTACTCATTCAATTTATGAACATTTTTCCCTCGACAGATATTATTCTATAAATAAAACTGAATAAGGCTGTGTGAGGTTATATATACATATATTGATTTTTTTCAAAACACAAACAACTATAACAGATGGACTATATCGCCTTTTCTCATATTCCTCTAAATTCTTTATATTTAATGCACAGTAACTATCTGATATCTACTATTTACTGTTTTTAGTGATAGTATTATTAGTTTTGAATTTAGTATAAAACAACAATATTAACTTAGAAATAGAGTTATAGAATTCCTTCAAATTATTAGCAACTCATCATTATTCACTATTTCGTCTATCTTGAAGTACACTTAATAAAATAACCTATATAACTGTCTACATTTTTGATCATAAAAACTTGGATAAGTTATTTAAACAGCATGATATATATATATATATATATATATATATATATATATATATATATATATATATATATATATATATATATGGTAGGTTCAAAAGGGTGAAAAAACATTAGGAATTTCATTATTTTTATCGTTGAATGAAGACAACTCAAAAGTCAATGTCATTGTAGTCGGATATCCTAACTTTCTTACAGTTTGTTTTTTTAAACTGTTAATTAGATTTTCAATTTTTAAATAAGATTCCACATATTGAGAGAACAATTTTCCTCTTTTAGTTCAGACACCTAATTAGTTAAATAATGTAATATTACCAAACAAAACAATACTGTACTTACAGACTTTGTATGTGTATGTATGAAAATATTCAAGAATACATACATATTTCATCTTGTCATTCACTCTATCCAGTTTTCATTTTTATTTCTTTCATTTGTTCTTACTCTTATCTTATCAAATTTATTACAACATATAATAAAATGTGAACAGGAATGATAAATTCTTTT